GTAACAGGCCCAAACCAGTGGCGGAGTGGAAGCCCATACCCTAAGGTATAAACCCTATCCACTGCCCCGTGATCTCCCTCTTGAACAAGATAAGTGGAGTAAAACTAGTTTGCAGCAACCCTAAGTTAACAAATCTAGAAAAGAATAATTTAGGCCTTGAAAGTATCCTGTATCACATTCATCCAAAAATCCATTCAACAAATATATTTACTGACTATCTGCTAAGTGGCAGGCACTGTCCTAATGCTGGGGATACTGAAGCTAACCAATCATCAAAGTCCTTGCCATCAGAGAGTTTATATTCCAGTGACAGAAGAGAGACAATAGCAAAATAAACAAATACATAGATAGTATGTCAGATGATGAAAACTGCTATGGAGTGTTGAAGGAACAGCCAATGTAGGGGAGAGTTGTGGGAACTGAGGTTCAAGAATGAGCTTGGGGCTCAACCCCATAGAGCCTTGTAGCTTACTGTGAGGAATTTGGCTTTTACTCAGCATGAGATGGGGAGCCATTGGAGGATTTGAAGCAGAACCGTGACAGCGTCAAATTTACATTTCAGTGGAATCACCTGGCTGCTGTGTTGGAAACAGACTGAGGAGCTCAAGGGCTGAAGCAAAACAAAAACCATTGTCGTTAAGTTGATTCCAACTATAGCGACCCTCTAAGTCGGAATCCACTCAATGGCAACAGGTTCTGGTTTTTCTTCAGCTCTTGCCCTCCACAGCAGCCAAGTGATTCTACTGAATAGCAAGGAGTTATAATTGAATTAGCTGTTGCAATAATCCAAGTGAGGACAAGAGTGATAGTCCGTCCCCTCATCCCCTTTTCCCTCAAAACCCACTCCCTGCCCCAGGAAACTACTGATTTGATTTTTTATCACAATAGATGAGCTTTACTGGTATTATGGAATTTCATATAAATGGAAGATAATGAAGTAATGGGGGGTGGGAGAAATACTTGAGGGCGGAGTGTGGAGGGAAGTGGATGCTGTAGTCACCAGTGAGAAGGGATACATTCTATTGTGACCTTTTTGGTGGGGGTTAGTGGCTTGTGTACCATTTTGTAAAAATCTGCTAACTGTGGTAGGGTAAGCTGTACCGAGCAGCAGGATCTGAGAGCTCTTAGATGGATGGGCAGGAATGAGACCTGCTGTGTGCTCTGCCCTCCTCGTGCAGGAGCCTCTCCAAGGCCTGAGTACACAACCCCTGTATGTGGTGATGAATGCGAGGACTCTCACAGCTCATTGCAAGGAATGTGACTTTGTACTCAGAGTGAGATGGGCAATCACTGGAGGATTTGAAGTGGAAAGGTGACATCATCAAATTCACATTTTAATCTAATGGGCTTTTATCATCCTGCCTATACTTTAACTCTCTCCTTCACCATGAACCATTTTCCAAAAAATTGAGGAGTATATAATTCATCCAGTCTATTGCTCTAGTTGTTACTCCTTCATTACCCTTTACCCTCACCCCACAAAAGACCAGCAACCTTACTTACAGCAGTTTTAAACTTATACACTT